TATATTTACACAATGGAGTATTACTCAGCTATTAAAAACAATGAATTTGAGAAGTTCCTAGGTAAATGGATGGAACTAGAAATTATCATACTGAGTGAGGTAAGCCAATCACAAAAGAACACACATGGTATTCACTCACTGATTATTGGATATTAGCCCAGAACCTTAAAATGCCCAAGATGCAACTCACAGGCCACATGAAGTCCATAAAGAATGAAGACCAAGTGGGAGTGATTCGGTCCTTCTTAGAAGGAGCAACAAAATACTCAAGGGAGCAAATATGGAGACAAAGCGAGGGACAAAAACTGAAGGAGAGGCCGTCTGAAGACCTTTCCACCTGAGTATCCATCCCACGTGCAGTCACCAAAGGTAGATGCTGATGTGGAAGTCAGGAAGTGCATGCTGATAAGAGCCTGATATGGATGTCTCCTCAGAGGTCTTCAAGAGTCTGACATATTCAGAGGCAGATGCTCACAACTAGCCATTGAAGTGATCATGGGGTTCCCAATGGAGGAGTTAGAGTGAAGACTGAAGGAGCTGAAAGGATTTGTGGCCCCATGAGGAGAGCAACAATACCAACCAACCACAGCTCCCAGGGTCTAAACCACCAGCCTGGGAGCACTTATGGAGGGATCCAGGGCCTTAGCTGAATATATAAGAGTGGAGGGCCCTGCTGGGCACAGGTGGAAGATGAGATCCTTGACCTCATGAAGGCTGGACGCCCCAGGGGGTGGGAGTTTTGAGGGTGGGGAGGTGGGAGTTGGGGGGTAGATAGAGGTTACATCCACAAAGAAGAAGGAGGAGGTGTGAGGGGATTGGGGGTTCCTGGGTGGGTGGGGGATGGGGTAAGGGGACAACATATGAAATGTAAATAAAACATCCAATAAAAAAATTAAAAAAAAAAAAAAAGAAAAAGAAAAAAAAAAGAAAGCAGGTTGAGCAAGCCATGGGAAGCAAGCCAGTAAGCCATGCCCCTTCCTGACCTCTGCCTCAGCTCCTGCCTCCAGGATCCTGCTGTTTGAGTTCCTGTGATAACTTCTCCTGATGATAAACTGCGCTGCAGAAGCATAAGCCAAATAAACCCTTTTCTCCACAAATTTCTTTAGTGTTTCATCATAGCATTAGCAACCCTAACTAAGACAGGGACAGAGTGTTTTTGGTTTAGGAACTATTTCAGAAAGACATTTATAGTCTTCTTTCTCCTAATTTCTGGATGAGAAATAAAGTTGGGAGTTTTAAAAACTTTTTCACATAGAATATAAATGAGAGAGAGAGAGAGAGAGAGAGAGAGAGAGAGAGAGAGAGAGAGAGAGAGAGTTCCAGTGTTGTAAACTGTGTAATTATGAAAGATTACTTGTAACAAAAACTTGTTTGAAAAATGTATAAAACATTTTATGTATCTTAAGACTACTATGCTTCTTCCGGATAACTATTAGAGAACACATAGGACTCTAGGGTGGTTTTAGGTGACACTTCAGTTGGGAAGATATTACGGTAGTTAAAGTTCTGATATGTTTAAGATGACCACTAGATATCAGTGAAATAGTGTATGTTAGTTATATGTGACACTTAGTTATCTACACATTTATTTTCTTCTACATTCAGTGGTAGAACATATGGTATTATATTTGAAATAGAATTAATTTGTAATTAGTGGAATAGGATAAAATAATTTTAGTATTACATTTATAGTTATATTTAATTCAAGATGAAGAAATATTTTATTGTGGGTGGTATTTTACATCACAGATAAAGCTTTTTAGACTGTAAACAGCAGCTCAAATTATAAAATACATAAATTTAAGGAATAATACATAATTTTTAGATATAAAGAAAAGAAGAATAAGTTTACATGTATATTTGATTGATAAAACTGAGTTTGGTGTTGGTTTCTTTGTGAAGTTATATGGTATTTATATGATATTTATAATAGAAACAAAAAGTTTAAACTCTATTTTTCTGAAGGAAATAAAAAAAAAACCCTTTAATAGTTACAATGATGCTGTTCTAGTGTGCTTTTTGCTGCTGTAATAAATAACAAAAAGCAACTTGGGGGAGGAATTGTGTTATTTCATTTAATAGGTTGCCGTCTGTTACTGAGGGAAGTCAAAACAGGAACTCCAGCAGTGCAGTAACTTGAAGCAGAAGCCATGTAGGAATGCTGTTGGCTGGTTTGGCCCCTCTGGCTCATGCTCAACCTGCTTTCTTATACAACCTGTGACCAAGGATGGGCACTGCTTATAATATTCTGGGTCCTCCTACATCTATTATCAATCAAGAAACAGGCCACAGGCTTGGCACAGGTGGGTTTGATGGAGGCAGTTCTTCAGCTGAGGCCCTTCCTCCCAGGTGACTAGAGCTTGTGTCAACTGATAATAAAATCTCTATTATGGGTGGTATATTAGTCCTCTCTAGTAGCAAATGGATATTTCTGAACAAGTCATCCTGATTATCCATATGTAGTAAGCCACTTTCCTCCTCAACTGAGCTTTCTTAAACTTAACTTAATATAATTTCCTTTCTTTTTTTCTATGTTATATAAACACATATCTATTCAAGCAATGTTAAGTCCAAAATGTATTGATTCTGCAATCCTAGTAGTAAAGTCACATACTTTGTCTTCTTCTGTCATAGGGCGCTTTGGTCAGTGCAAGTTCAGATGACACACTTCATTTGTGGAATCTGAGACAGAAAAGGCCAGCCATTCTCCATTCTCTTAAGTTTAACAGAGAACGGTAAGATCATTTGTATGGAATAACTTTTGCATATGACAGAATTGGTTCTCCAGCAATTTTAATAAAAGAAAAGACTTTTCCTTTATAAATCTATATTGTTGTCATTTTTTAATAGAAAACGCATGATTGGGATAGATTTCAGCCATGTATGAAAATGTGAAATATCTAAACCTTTTGATCTCTAAGCTATGAAACATCACTTCAGCAATCATATTTTCTTTACCCTGGGTTATGGCAATGAAAACTCAGACCTAAGATTCAAAAGTTAAGTAAAAACAATTTTATTTCACATATTTTGATTACATTATATATCTCATATATTCTAATCCTGACCCACCTATCTTTATCTTTAAAAGGTATTTACCTTTTTAAAAATTTTTTATTTTTTAAATCTTTTTTAAAATCTAAATATCTTTTAGGTAGAATACTGAACAAAAGTTTTAGAGTTCAAAATATGTCAGTTCTAATTAAACACTAAATTTTAGCATTGCCAAAGATGGTAATTTGATCAAAATTTAGTTCACCTCCTTTTAGAATGATCATAGCCAGGGGTTTATTTGAGTGCAAATGGCATAAGTTATTTTATTTGTGACAAATTATATCACAATTTACTATTTCCTAGACCTAGATATATGCACATCCACTTAACGAACAGTCATCAGTGAGCATGTGAACAGTGAGGTGTGTACCTTAACTATGTAGAATAGTCTATCATTACTTGGGAAGCAACCAGACTTTTTACAGTGTATGGGAAAGCACATCATAGGAAAACTTGCGACTAATAAGAAGAGAAACCTTTGAGAGGTAAATTTGTCTAGACTGACAAACACCATCCAAACCAAGATAAGCACAGGAGGAAAGCAGTTTTAGCCTAAAGCCCAACATGGTGATTATTTTTTATTTTGTTGCATAATAATGATTAATAAGGGCCAGGCAGTGGTGGCTCATGCCTTTAATCCCAGCACTTGGGAGGCAGAGGCAGGCGGATTTCTGAGTTCGAGGCCAGCCTGGTCTACAGAGTGAGTTCCAGGACATCCAGGGCTAAACAGAGTAACCCTGTCTCGAAAAACCAAAAAAGAGAGAGAGAGAGGTTAATAAGGAATCACTGCTACTGCTATTTTGGCAGATTTTAATGAAATATATATGTCTTTATAAATATGACAAAATAAAATGATAGTTATATAGAATATACTTTTAGTAGTTTTAATCTCATGTGTGTAATATGTGAGGATTAAATAATTAACTGTAAATATTTTGAATATTCATGAGTATTATATCTCACTACTTTATGAATTGCCATCTTTATAGCTAGGATTTTTTTTTTGATTTTTGTTTTTTGTTTTTTTTTACTGGAGAGAATTAACACTTAAGAATTTACTAAACTAGCCAGGACTTCTCTAGATTAGGCTGACTTTTTCTACTTTATTTGTAGGATTTGTTTTTGCAAGTATTCAAAAGAACAATGGGTCAGGCAGTACACAGTGTATGGTGTGCTATCTTATTTTAAATGTAAAATAAGTAATCTGTAAAAATTTTAAGGGTTTTTAAAAATATAAGATCAGTTCAGAGGTGCTCTACTGTTATTCCACTAAGAATATCACCTTTTGGATTGTAATGTTGGTAATCTCTATCTGCTCATACAATTTCTTTGAGGGAGGAAAGCTAAGAGATGATTCAGTTGGAAAGATGCACAGCAAGTGTGAGGACATGAGTTTAGATCCTTGATGTTTCTGACAAAGCTGGGCACGAGTGGGGTGAGACAGACAAGTCCCTGGAGCTCACTGGACAGCCAGCCTAGCCAAACCCATGACTTCCAGGATCAATGAGCGTGGGTGCATTCCAAGAAAACAAAACAAAACACAAAACCCTACTGTGAACAAGGAAGAAACCTGCTGATAACTTCTGACATCAAAACACACACATCCATGCACACACACGCACACACACACACACACTGATTTTTTTTTCTTTTTCAATGCTTGAGTAAATCTGATTGGCCACTTTTGTATTGATAGAAAAAGTGCATTGTTTGGGTTTTGTTTCTTTCCCTTACTATTCAAGTGTAAAAATATTATGATCCTCTTTATGACTCTCTTAAGAGGAAGAAATATTGATGATAATTTTATTATCTCAGTTGAAGTGGGTTAGTTGGCAGCAACATAAGGAACAAGCTGACAGACTTAGTACAAGTTTACATCCTAAGAACTCTAAAAATATTGTTTTGTTTAAAATGATTTAAAATTTTTAATTTTTAAATTTTATATGTATGAGTGTTTGGCTTGCGTAACTGTCTATACACTACACTCATGCCTGGTGCTCATGGAGGCTAGAAAATGGTGTCAGATCCCTTTAGATTTGGAGTTTTATAGACAGTTGTAAGCCACTATATGGCCATTGGAAATTGAACCTAGGTCCTCTGGAAGAGCAGTTAACCATTGAACCATCTCTCCAGTCTCACACTGTTTTAATACTTATTATATATAATATATTACTATATATAGTAAAATAACATGTATATAATATTAGATAGTATTGAAATATATATATGTTGTCATGTGGCTTGAAATATGCTTATATTACTGATCTTGGATTTCTTTCAAATGCAATTTGGACTGAACCATGAAAAAGTTACTCTTGACGTGGGTAATGGGAGCCGAGTAATGAATAAACCACTTTCATTTTAGTCATATTGACAGTTCTTCCTATCACTGATAGTAAGTTTTTGTAACGCTAGAGAAAGCACAGAGAGTTTTACATGCTTGCAGATGAAATTCAGTATGTAAACTGTGATTTAGAAACCCTTAGATTATTAGAACCTATTATGTCAGTTCTCATTTTCTGTCCATAGTGTTGTGTCTGTTAATTTAGTCAAAATATTTCTAAGGAATATTGCCTAAGCAAAGGGAAGGGGTATTTTGCTAACAATTCTATAATTAAAAAAAAATTCTAAAAAGCTCAATTGCATTACCAGGACAGTTTGAAGTGTTTTTATTTTTAAAATTTCTTGAATATTATGTTTATTTGATTCAATGTTTAAAATGTACAAGGTTATATATACTGATGAATATTTTTCTGTCTCCTACATGGAATAATAAGTTTCTAGGCCACATATATTATATTTTTGTTTGCCCCATGTCATCTCCCAAGCTTTCCTTTCCCCACTGTACCCCTTTCTCTCCAGTATTTTCCTCTTCTATTTAGTTTTTTTGTCTTTTCCACTGTTCTCTATTAAAATTTCCCCCAGTCACTTGGTCTCCTGTTTAGTTTCTTGGCCTTTATCTATATTTATTTCTGCCTGCTCATATTCAGCAATTAGATGTTAGGATTTGCATATAAGAGAAAAAAATATGTGGAGGCTTTGCTTCTCTCTGAGTCCATTCCTAATGTCACCATCCCCTCCTGTAATCAAGTTCCAGCACCCTCCTACATTACCAGTGGCTCTCCAGAAAATCTCTAGGCTTTCAGAATCAGACTGGTTCTATTGAGGAGTTTAACCTCTTGGAATGAAGCTTTATGAAGTTTGCTGCTCATCCAGCAATGCAGATGGCTCTTATTTGATTACCTGGCTTCTAGTGTATAAACCAATTTAATAGATCCCTTTGGCACATGCCCAGACCTCCCCATGTGTGACGTGTGTGTGTGTGTGTGATCTATTGGTTATGTTCCCTTATAGAACCCTACTTAACACACATAGCTCTCAGAACATCTCATTGGAGACTTCACAAGGATAACATCCACCTTTTGTCTTATCATGTTGTTGGCGACACTTAGGTAGTTTGCTAATTGATGGAAGGCCTTGGCTTCTTACTAGGCATTAGTTAAAAGCTGAGTTCTGTTTGCCATTTGGCTGTTGTATAAGAAACTTTTCTTGGCTAGACACAGCACACATACATCTATTCAACCTAGATAGAAAAATCATGACAGACCAAACTAACAATTGCACCAAAGTCCAACTTGGTGAACCAATCAGTTGTTACTAGAGTTACTAACAGGAAATGAAGAAAGGGTTACTTATAGGAAAGGATGATCCAAAACCAGCTAACTCACAACAAAGCCCACCACAGGATAGCATAGATGATGACTGAATGCAGCTGTATTCCTGGGCTCTCTGCAGAACTTACAAGCAGTTCAACAGGTCCGGGAATCATCTCTCTGCAGCTACACTGAATCTTCTCTCCCAGCAGCAGCTCTCCTCCTCCATAGTTTTTGTTTTCTGTTTATATAACTCTAAAGTGGGGCTCCCTAAACCTTGTAAGTTTCTGCTTTCTCAGAAGTGTGAAGTTTGTTTTTATCCCGAGTTTAATGTACCCCTCTCTCCTGCAGGAAGTATTTTAATTCAGAGGAAATTGATATATGACAATGATACTCTTATCAAGTCAGCTCATTGTAGGGCAACTTTCTTCTCAAAACCAGGAAGATAGCAAGAGAGTCTTTCAAGAAGATAGAAGCCATAGTCATAAGTAACAATCATGGACATGACATTCCATGACCATTGCCATATTTTGTTGGCTAAAAGCAAGTCATAGATGTTATGTATACTCAGGGGGCAAGAATACTAGGAAAATCATGGAATATGACCTTTATAGATCACATGTGTGTGTGTGTGTGTGTGTGTGTGTGTGTGTGTGTGTGAGAGAGAGAGAGAGAGAGAGAGAGAGAGAGACAGAGACAGAGACAGAGACAGAGAGACAGAGAGAGAGAGACAAAGGCAGAGAGAGACAGAGACAGACAGAGACAGAGACAGACAGAGACAGACAGAGACAGGCAGAGACAGGCAGAGACAGAGACAGACAGACAGACAGACAGACAGACAGACAGACAGACAGAGTGAGTTGCATGCAGCCACATATGCCATAGCCCATAAATAGGGGACAGAGGACAACTTGTAAGACTTGGTTTTCTTTCTATGTGTTTTGGAGATGAAAGTCTGGCTGATCATCAGATGTGGTGACAATAATCTTTTATACACTGGGCCATCCTGCCAGCCTACTTCCACAAAT